AAAGAATCACTCCACAAACCAACACAAAATCCACAAAGGCAAGTCACAAGACTAGTGACTTACTCTAGGGACTTCAAAAGTGGAATTAATAAAAAGAAAATACTAAATCTTCTATTCGTATTTCCTTTTCATCTCACTCAAAACTTTTCTTTTCAGGGTGCCTGGGTGGCTCAGTCGGCTAAGTGTCTGACTCCTGATTTCCGCTCAGGTCATGATCCCAGAGTCTTGGGATGGAGTGCTGCATCGGGCTCCCTGCTCAGGGGGAAGCCTGCTTCTCCCTCTCCCACTCCCCCAGCTTGTGTTCCCTCTCACTGTCTCTGTAGAATAAAAAAATAAAATCTTTAAAAATATTTTTAGGGGCGCCTGGGTGGCTCAGTGGGTTAAGCCGCTGCCTTCGGCTCAGGTCATGATCTCAGGGTCCTGGGATCGAGTCCCGCATCGGGCTCTCTGCTCAGCAGGGAGCCTGCTTCCCTCTCTCTCTCTCTGCCTGCCTCTCTGTCTACTTGTGATCTCTGTCTGTCAAATAAATAAATAAAATCTTTAAAAAAAAAAATATTTTTAGTTTTTTTTTGTATGTTTTATAACAGATGAAACAGTATGGCAGAACATAATTTATTTAAGTAAGGAGACATATAACAGAGGTAATTACTCAATTTTTACTTGTTGATTTAAGAGACCACTGATACAATCTACAGATTTCAGTGCTACCAACTTAACAGTAACTCCAGGATACATGAAAACCCACTAGAACAGTTTAGAATCCATGGGTGAGAAATCAGATTTCACAGAAAGACTAAGTGGTATCAACCAGCATGTGTAGCATGTGTACTCCCTACCCGCATTCTCTTTACTCCTTTTTTTTTTAAAGCTCATCAAACTTTAAACGATCAGTTTTTGGCTTTGGCTAAATCAGCGTGGTTTGTCCAGGTTCCCAGGATGATACGACCAAAACATCTGATGGGAAAAACTACTTGTGAAACCACACATGGACAACTAATCAAGATCTTCTCTTAATTCACCTCAAATAAACTACTCATTTCTTCTAGATTAATAATCTCAATGTGAGGAAGCTACCAAGATTCCCAAAAGATACAACTTAAAACCGCCCCGTGACTGAGAGTATCACCCAGTGGTGACACCAAGAGATGCAGGGTCCATCTGCGATATGAAATGGGAAAAGATAAACCTAACCTAGGAACTGCCTTTCCAAAATATTACAGTTACGAGTGAGTTGTCTTTCTAATGATAAGGTATAAAGGGTAGGGGGTAAGGCTGGCGGGCTGAGAACCGCGTGAGAATTCGAAAAACTTTTAAATCTGAGGTATCTATGCCTTTACTAACCCTTAAGGTCTCCGAAATCCCTGGCTTCTCAGGAGAGGCCTAGCTTCTGAGGCCTCTCCTCAGGTTTCAAAGTTAGCTCCGAGGGCGTAACCCCACCTAAAAAAAAAGGAGTGGAAGCATTCTCTGGATCCTCTTTGAAATGTGGGTAGATAGAAATACACAATGCTGCCATCGTTTGCTAACGGGAACCCCAGCTTTGGACAACAGACTGAAAAGCATCGACCCAGGAAAGAAAAAGGGGGTCCTAGCTCCAGCATGGGGCAAAGAGGAGGGGACCACTGACGTAATGCAGCTCTGACGAGAAACGTGAAAGGAGTATAACAGGTTGAAAGCACTTGCATATCCGGTGGGGAAGTGACGGATGATACAACGATGAAGAAAGGGCCGAAATAACAAAGAATACTGTAAAACCGCACGGAGAAATGGGAAATTAGGGAAGGCGTAGTGGGGAAGAAAAGAGGCACAAAAGAAAAGAACTACGGCGGGAGCCAGAAAACGAAGTGGGAAAGCCTGCAAGATGAGCATGCAGTAAAAACAGCAAGCCACCCAGCAGAATTCAGTCCCCAGAAAGGTCTAACAGCCTTTCCCCGCCTCACGGTACCTTCAGTTTATGGAGCTCCACCGTCTCCGCCGCCATCTTGTTACCCCTCCAGTCCACTAGGCCCCCACCCACTGCCTCCGCTTCCAGGAGCTCCCGCCTAGGCGCAGATAACCAAGGCCAACCAATCGCTGTCACTCTTACTCCCACCTCACACTATCAATTCTTCCCATTAGTCAATAGCGGACGCCGTTCTCACTCCTCCTAGCAGCTTTCCCCACCTCTCTCAAAAGGTGGGACAGGGAGAGGGGCGGGTTCTGAACGCCATGAACGGCGGAAATGGCGACCAATTGCGCATCACCATTGCAAACTGCCAACCAATGGGTGGCGGCAGCGCCGATTCTGTTCCACGAATAGGGAGAGCGCAGATGGGAGAGGGCGTGTGCTTCCTGGACACCACAGGTGTGTAAGCGAACGCCGCTCTTCGAGTCGGACGGGCTTCTGAAGCCTGCAGGTAGGGGCTGCCGGGAGACTAGAAATGGGGCATAGGAAAAGTGGTGCCGGGCGGAAGATGGAGGGCGGGGGCGGAGGGAGGTTGGAGCGTCGGCAACCTAAATACCAAGGGGAGCTCTGAAGAGACCCCTGAGAATAACAGAACGACAAACTTGAGAGGGAAGCTGGAAGGGGCATGGGGCGGGTTCAACACTAGGGTTTAAGGAATTTCAGGTAAAGACGGGCGAGCAAGATTTGCTTCCCAAGTTGACATCAACAAGCACGATTTTAAAGGGCCAAATTCAGGCAATCAGAGCCGCCCCTTGATTCGGGAATAACGCTCCGTGACTCGAGATGCTGAGCTCAGGTTCCTTCCTAGCTCAATCCAAAAGCCATTGGGTAAATACTTAGCAGCGCCCTTCGCTTGAGAAAGGGATTGGGATGCGGCCTGCTTACATGCCAAGGGGATGGGAGACTGGACGGGCAAGCCGCATAGGAAGAGGTGGGGATTAGAAGTAGTTTTGTCGCCTTACCCCTTATTGGTGGTTGTTAATCCCTGCTGTCAGAAGTCCCTGCCCCAAGCCTAGACCCCTTAGGTTACAGTTGAAGTGTAAGGATCAGAGTAAAGATTACCATTAATGTCTCTAAAAGTAGAGAGCACCCGTCTTGCCTTTTAAGTTTTCTTTCCTAAGTCTTCAGTTTTTCCTTTGTGCACAATGGGGAAGTTTTTTTATTCCCAATAGAGTTAAGGGGATTTGGGCTATCCAGGAGACAACTTGGGGGAACTAATTCAAAGAGGGGTTAAGAGGAAATTGAGTTGGACTCCTGCCTGATCCCCCCACGGCGGTAGGATGAATGTGGGGGTGGCACACAGCGAAGTAAACCCCAACACTCGAGTGATGAATAGCCGGGGCATATGGCTGGCCTACATCATCTTGGTAGGACTGCTGCATGTGGTTCTACTCAGCATCCCCTTCTTCAGCATTCCTGTTGTCTGGACCCTGACCAACGTCATCCATAACTTGGTGAGCACTAAACCATACCCTTATACCCAACCCAGGCCTTTCCGAACCAAAACCCAAAATCACTTATTATTTGGGAATTTATGTCTTCGTTTCGCGATCTCCGCATAATTCTGGGGCTGACGGACTACTTTCTGCCTCCTTCCACTGCACCCGCCGCCCCGCCTTTCCCTCCTCCCAGGCTATGTATATCTTCTTACATACGGTGAAGGGGACACCTTTTGAGACCCCTGACCAAGGAAAGGCTCGGCTACTGACACACTGGGAACAGATGGACTACGGGCTCCAATTTACCTCTTCCCGCAAATTCCTCAGCATCTCTCCTATCATACTGTGAGTCTAGGGGGAGATACAGGGAATGCTCCAAGCATCAAGGAGAAACCTACATAGGGAAGCTTTAAAAAAGCAGACTACTCACTTAGACCCTTTGAAGATATTATGGTATGGTCTGAATCAAGGGAGAGCAATAAAAAGTAGAAGATAGTAATCAAGCATTCCTTGCTGCCCGTTGGTGGTAGGGGAATGGAGAAAGGACTGAGAAAACACTCAAGCAAAACCAAATGGTTTTACACTTCAAAGGAAATGAATAAATAAAGCAGAACAGAAATAAATCTGTGAAAACTGTGGGGAATTGAAGCAAAAGCACTCTAACAGCCACATAGACTTCAGCTGTCATTTGCCACATCATTAACAATGAAAAAACTCTAACTTATAAATCTCCAGCTAAAAGTGCTGATTATCTCCCCAATCCCAAAGTAAATACTATTAATTTAACTGGAATATTTTCAGATATCCTAGGACTACATGCAATAAAATTGGTCATTTAAAAATAGAAAAGTCACTGCAAAGCCATAAATAACAACTAGGGAAGGCCAACTTCACTTAACCCATTTCTTCTCTCCCCAGCTACCTCCTGGCCAGCTTCTACACCAAGTATGATGCTGCTCACTTCCTCATCAACACAGCCTCATTGCTCAGCGTACTGCTGCCTAAGTTACCCCAATTCCATGGGGTTCGACTCTTTGGCATCAACAAATACTGAGGGATGGGGCTGGGAATAACACTGGACCAAAGGGCTGCAACATCCTTTCCTTCTCTGTATTGTCTTCTGTATCTTGAAACCCTGAGAACTACATAACCTTTCCCAAACTCCCAGGAAGAAAACAGACTGGAAAATGGGGCTCCCTGGGCTCAGCCCTGCTAAAAACAAATTTTCTTTGAATCAGGAAAGGTGGCAAAGATAAGGGCCAAATCAGTCTCCCTCACAGCAGGAAGTCATGTTTGAGCAGTTTGTTTGGTGATTAAGTTTTTCCAGATCTTCTACCTACACCACTTGCCAGCTCTGTTTTGCTGTGTATTTTCCCTATAATAAAGTTTGTTTGTTTGTTTTTTTCAGATATGGCTATAGTTTGGTCAGCAGGAAGGGTAGGGAGATGTCCTCATAAGGTTGGGGAAGAAACAAGGAATAGCAACTTATTATATAAAACTTTTCTTAAGGTATTGTTTTAATCCCCTCTCCCTTGATCCAGTAGGAGGTGCCCTTCACTCAGCTAACACTTAGGGAAAGGATTCTCAAATGAGAAAAAGGGCAAAGAAGAGAGGAAAGATACAGGTTGCCAGTTTATATATTTATAGAAAGATAATCCCCTGGCTTTAAATAGATATGTACATACAAATATGAACAAACTTAAAAAAATACAAACCCTTGGATCATAAGGGGGCTTCTGGGAGCCCCTTTATCCTTCTCCCTCACCCAAGGGCAGAGGGCATGAGTCTTCTTTTTAAAAATTATTAGTTTGGCCATCCCTGCAGCAACAAGCATGAAGTTGGGTGATTACCCACAAGGTGAATGTCAGAGGAAAAATTCAAAGTTCCCACTCTCTGAACTCTATGTATAATCTCCTATAATTAGGGCTACATGCTTTCTTGTTCTCTTTTAACTAGAATGTTGGGGTAAAGGAGGGGGCTCCCTCCTGAAATGGGTCAAGAAATTATAAGATAGACTCGTAGTTTAAAAAAGGGGGGGAAAGTGTCATCTGCTCTAGAAGCAAGAGACAAAGGCATACAGACCCCAGGGAAATACCAATTCCCACACTACCATGGGAGATACTGTCCAGCCCAGGTCCAGGCTCTAGGATCTTTGCTTTAGCCACCCCCTATTTCTTTGGTATTGTCAAAAGACAAGATTCAGTTCCTAGGTGCTGGTGGAGGAGGGAGAGTGGTTCTGGGGCTTCCTACAAGTACTGAGTGAACAATTTGAGCTTAAAATTTTCCCTTTTTTAAATATTTAAAAATAAACAAGTCAAAACTCCATCCTGTGCTATACACAGCCCTTTTGACTCCCTGACATTGATCTGAGGAAAGAAGAGAAGGGGTGTCAACGTTGGAAGGGCCTCCTCACTTTCTTCCGCCGCTTCGGTTTGGCTTCTCCCTTGGGTACTGTGCTGTTGGGCTTAGAGGCTGCAGTGGCCCCAGGGCCAGGCTGAGGAGCTGCAAAGAAGTTCCCATTGGACATCTGGCCTGGGGGTACTTGAAATATCCGGCTCAAGAAATCCTGAAGATCAGCAGGAGGGGCATCTGGGGTTGCTCTGAGAGGAAAACATAAGACATTATGAGGCAAGAGCTATTAAGAGTTATATGGTTACCTCTGTTACCTGTTTACACCTAAGTTAAAGATACACTGGAGGGAAAGAAAAAGATATACTGAGTCAGCTGCCAAACTTAAGGGTAAGATCTCTAGGTGTCCTAAGCAGCATGTCATCTGAAATCATATTCAGAACTACAACAGTAGGTAGATTGTTGAAAGAAGTAACACCTACCTCTGCCGCCCACTGGTGCCTGGAATCCGAGAACCAAAGGAGATGTGATAGGGGACTCTGTGAGTATCTGGGGAGATTCCCACACGCTGGCATCCAGCCCACTCTACAAGCATGAGAAATAATTAGCCAAAACATCACAGTTTTGAGCATACATGAGCCCATATTTCTAGAGAACAGAAGTATACCTGTGATGTCATACACTTTTCCATCCATCAGTGCAAAATAGGTGATCTTGAGGCCCAACATGCTTGACTCTGCCCAAAAGTCTCCTTCCTCAGCAGGATGCAGTCTATTACACTCAGCACAGTATCTGGCACTCTTAGGTTCCCGGTCCATTTCAAACCTCCTACAACCCAACAAAAGGAAAAGTTCCTTTTCATCTGTCAAGCCTACAACACTGTTATACTATCATCGTTATAATCACTTCTTGGCCTTTTGGCTAAGATCAAGTGTTTAGTGTCATCATTATTGACAAATAGCTAATATATCTAAAATTATCTCCACTCAGTTGTTACATATGTCTACAAACACCCGTACCCTCAACCTTCTCTCTTAAAACTAAAAATATTAACTTTTTTTTCTTAGTACAAATTCAAATTTCCAATCTCTTGACACTATGGCAAAAGCAGAAACCTCAGGGTCTTTTTACTCATCAGCTGTATCCCCCAACTACCAGTAATACTCAAATGGACGTCTTTGGCTACCCAATGGCTAATCTGTGACTGTCCCATCCCTGCCCTATTTCATACCTATGCTTTCCCTGGCATCGGCTGCACATCATAGTATTCATTGCCTCTTTGAGGTCATCCTGCAGCTTAGATAGAAACTCATTCACTGACCGGCTCAGCTCAGTCTCTGCCATTCGTTTCCTAAGAGAAGAAAGCCTTTGTAAATCAGAAGGTATTGATCAAGGGACAAAGGGAGATGAACCTTTAACCCTCTTGAGGCCCCTGGCCAGCTAGAAAGATAAGCAACCCTGTTCTCTCCACCTCAGAGAGCTTCACCCACAAGTCCAGGGACCTCTACTTTGAAGATTATTCATTCATCCCACCTGACAATTTCCCATTTCCAACTTACATTTCATATTCCTTCCGCCTTTCAGGGTTGCTGACAATGTCCCAAGCTGCCCGCAAAACCTTGAAGGCCTCCTCTGCCCGGGGATGATGATTTTTGTCAGGATGAACCTACCAAGACAAAGATTTCATCCCAAATCCATTCCAACCCTCTCCCCATCTTAGATCAAAATAACCTCATTATCAGGATGCCTGGATAGTTCAGTGGGTTAAGCATCTCATTCTTGATCTCAGGGTTCTGAGTTCAAGCCTGGTTGGGCTACACACTGGGCATGGAACCTACTTAAAAAAAATAAATAATAATAACCCTTGTATCAAATGGCTCTCTTTCATCACCCTTTTAGAGAATCAATACAACTTAATGACTAATTGCTCTGGCTCTGCAGACACATGTATAGGATCAAGTTCTAGCTCTGTCACTATTAGCTATTTATCATGAATTACTGGGAGAATACTCACAACATATATACACAGAATTTGGCACTAGGGTGATCCATCCTATCAGTGTGCCTGGGACTGTCCCAGTTTTAGCACTAAAAGTTCATGTCTCAGGAAACCCTCAATCCCGGGAAGCAGGGATGGTTGGTCACCCTACCTGGTAAATGCATACTAAGCCCTCACATTTTAACTCTATCATCAACCATAAAGTAAGAGTTCCAAAGATACTACATCTTCAAACTCATTCTAACTAGAAAATTCTAGTATGTATTTCCCATAATGGTTTGCCTTTCTGTCGCAGAAATGAATTAGCATATTGTGATCCTCACAGGCTTTTTATCCACTTTTCAGCCTCTCCTCTAAGACAAATAGTATCCTCAACTCCTACAGCTTCCTGATTGTTCCCATCCTCCTTTTCCAAAAGAACAGAATAAAGCTAATCTCCTGATGATGCCAAATAAAGAGAATGCCGTTAATACTCCACATACCCAAGCTTATAGAACAGCTTTCAGTCATGGTCACTCTGAGGCTTCATAAGGACAGTGAGAGGTTTTGTAAAAGAAGCCCACAGACACTGGCCCAGAACAAGGGAGTACTTTGAGGTGCAGGGCAGGTATATTGAGGATCAGGGAACTTAACTATATCTCTACTCCAAGAAAGTAAGTTGAAAACGAAATTTTCTTCTAAGAATGTTATTCCCCAAGAGAGGATGTCTGCTAAAAGACATGAAAGTGAGAAAAGAGCTCTACTGCTAGTAACAATCTGAGTGTAAACTGCCATTTCCCACTCTTAAGAATATCCCAGTCTATCCACTAAGGGGCATGCATTTCCCACCAAACTTAGTCCTCTGCTAAGTTATAGGCCTGGTACCTTACTGTGTCTTGAATGGTTAATGGACACCTTGGTTAACCCATTCCTTTTTGTTTCCATGCAGTCACTGGCGTAATTTGCACACCATAATTTTACCAGTCCAGTTCCATACACTCAAATCAGCCTCCAATGGAATTTACACACATTACTTATAATACAGTTTTACTTACAGAAAAAGCAATAAAAATCGTATCTAAAAATAGCAAATTAATATCTACTAATAGCAATTTGCATGCTTGTATTAAACATTTCCCTCAGGCATATGGGGGCATCACAACTCCACCTGTACCACCCCCTCCCGCCCCCCATCAATAAAAGCAACCATATCATGAGGCACCTGGCTGGCTCAGTCAGTAGGACAATGGGACTCTTGATCCCAGGGTTGTGGGTCTGAGCCCCGTATCAGGTGTAGAGATTACTTAAAAATGAAATCTTTAAAAACAGCCATATATATGACATACAGATGCACATGCCTCTCCATGGTTTATGTTCCATTCTCTTTCCCTTTTCCATTCTAGACTGCTGGTCTTGAAATACTTTTCTTTCACCTAGTCCTAGAACAATCACATGCATTCCCTGAACCTTCCCACACTAAGTCCACATTTGCCTATCTGGGACAGATAGTTGGATATCCCCCTGTTCAAAAAACCCTCATTAGTTCAGGGTACAAAACTGACAGGCTTTCTAATGAGGCCTCTTTTCCACCCTAGAGGGTGGTTAGAGGGACTTCACCTGGATATTCCAGGGTGAGTGGTCTAACATCCTGGGGTTCTGGGACCAAGCCCCTGCACCCAGCTCCCTGCTCAGCAGGGAGTCTGCTTCTCCCTCTCTCCCACGCCACCCGTGCCCCTCCCCCTGCCCTGCAGACTCTCTAGTGCTCTCTCTCAATAAATCTTAAAAAAAAAAAAAAAGAATCTCAAGACAAAACGCTTAAAATGAAGGAAAAGTCAGATGCCACAGCAGAGGGGGAAAAGTCTTTATGACTATTTCCTAAGAATTAATGTTGCTCCAGCTTCAAGTTGACTTTTTACTCTGCCTTCTCTTTATCCTACTCTTCCTAAAATTGGAATAGAAAATAAGACAACAAAGAGGAAGAGGAAACAGGGGAAAGATACTCACCATCACTGCCAGCTGCCTATATGCCTTCTTCAGTTCAACATCTGATGCTGTGGCTTCAACCCCCAACACATGGAAAGGGTTTAGCTCATCCTCAGGAACCCCAGCCATGGTCAAAAGTCGAGCCACTTCTTCTTCAGGCTGGCAGTAGCGACCACCAGTTACAGGTGCATTCCCCTGCCTATTAGTCCTTGGCTTGACCCAAGGCAACTCCAGCCAACCCCACTGAAACATTTTTACCAACTGCTGCCATGGCCTGCTATCTCTCAGCAGAATCAGGCAACGCTGCAAGGTGGGAAAATCCAGCCAAGAAAAGAGCCAAGTGGCTTTACCCCTCCAGCCTAACCGGTCACCCAGTCCCACCAGAAACCGCCAGCCCAACTGTAGACAGCCCAACGAGAGGGCCAGAACCAGAAGCAGCAAAGCACCTAGTAGCCTAAGAAAACGGGTGAACAGCCCTGCCCCATAGCAACATCCTTGGCTCAGAAACTGGAACATTACCTGGGCCCAGCCTCCCAGCCGCCCTGCCCAGACTCCCAACCAGACTCGAAAAAGGTCCAGATCGCTGCCTTTCAGCTGCCTGCATGCATAGATGAGATGGCCACAAGTTTCCACGTACTCTCCCACCAATACCAGCAATTCAATCAGCCACCAGAAGCCTGCCTGCCCAAGCTGACACAGTTCCTCTGCTCCCCATAATCCCAGGCCTTTGCGCTTATCTGCCTGACTTCTTTTCCGGCCCAGCCTATGTCGGCCAGGGGACCTGGGATCTCTGCGTCCACCCTCCCGAGTATCCTCCTTGGCCGGGATGCGGTGCCGCTGTCTCCGGGGTGGTTTCTTCCCACTGGGCGCACGTGAAAAATCACTGGGGAACTTAAGAGGTTCCTCATCATCATATTCCTCTTCCAACTCTTCATCTTCCCCCAAAACTGGAGAGGTACAATGGTGACAAAAGTTGCTAGAAGAGCTATCTCCTCCCTCAGAGTAAGGCCCTTCAGGGATTCCAGGGATTCCCTGGCAGTTGCAAGCAGATGGAATGGAAAGAAAAGAAGGGTTGCCATCCTCCTGGTACCCAGCCTCATTCTCTCTTGAGAGTTCCTGGTCCACTCCTGATTCTTCTTCTGAAGATGCCTCACTCTGATCAGGGTCCTCTCCATCCCTAGGGGGTCCTGGACCCCTTGGGGGGCCATGGCTTGGATCCGACCAGTGGGCTGGGTTTGGGGGCTGTGTGTACTTAGGACTAGAGTGCTCTGTGAGGCAGCGGGTACCATTAGAAGCAGGCCCCGCTGAGTCCCTGAGTCCTGAGAATGAAAGTATTTCAGGGTCCACAGAGGATCCTAAAGTCCTGAAGGAGGCACCACCACTGTGGTGGGCTCCACACAACCCTCTTTCTCCGGGGTGCTTCTGGGCCATGACCCCAGGGCTTCCTGAGGATTTTAGGTCACAGCCATCATGATAAGTTCTGATGCCTGCAACAAAGGTATCAAGGTGGGGATTATCAGAATTGAACCGAGAGAGGGATTAAATAACCTTAAATTGAGGATATAATTAATGCACCCACCTCCCTTGTTTTCTCAAATTCTTCTGGGGCGTTCGTTATCCCTACCAATAAGCCAATACTACGTTAACCACAACCGTGCTCCCTTCCCCCCTCCAAAACCCCTTAGTTTTTCTTCTTTCCCCAGAAAGTCATAATCCAGAATGAGGGAAAGAGGGCGGTAACTCAAAGGGTGTGGTCCGGGGGTCACTTTTGGGTAAAAAGGGAAAGACTGGAAAGGGGGGGCCGCAGGCTGCCAGAAAAGGGTGGGGATCGTGCGGCTCTCAAAGAAAACCTGGGGGCGGAGCTTGGGGTTGCCCCTGAGAAAGACAGCCAGGAAATCCTTGGGCTGGGTAGAGGGGGCGAAGGTAACGTACCCGAAGAGCTGCGGTAACTCCTCCCCCTCGAGCAGCTGGGCCTAGGGCCAGGGGGAGCTACGAGAGCAGCTCCCCCGGCTCCGCCTCCCGCTCACGCTCTGCTTCCGCCTTCCGTCCCCGCCGTGGCCGCCGACCTACGCCCACTTCCACTTCCGGGGTCACCAGGGAAGAGACAGGAAGGAAACGAAAAAGCGGTTGGCGGAGGCGCGAGCCAGTCGAGCAAGCGCTGACTCAAATCAGAGGAGGAGGTCCTGAGGAAGAACTGGCCCCGCCCCTTAAAGGGCTCTCTGCTGCCACCCTCCGCGTGCTGGAGTGATAGCTCCGCAGGCTGCACCACTGGTGGGCGCTGTAGCAGTGCCTGTGGACGCGGGACAGATTTTTTTTTTTTTTTTTTCGGGGTTCCTCTGGCTGTATTCTCAGGCTTGCCCGAGACTGGGAGATTGAGGACAGCCACCGAGCCACAGTGTTTCCCTTGCAGACAAAACCAGAGAGCGTAGAAGAGCCACCACCCCGATCCTTTTCCTGCTGCCTGTAGCGAGGACAGAGACCCTTTTGTATCATGCGGAGGTGGAGCAGAAGGCAGGACGCCCCGGGCCAGCCCCCACCCTGGCCTCCCTGCACTACCCCTTCTTTCCCAGCAATCCTCGGCCTCCCCTGCGCCCGACCCAGCTGGCGAACTGCCCGGTATAACTGCAGCTCCCACGGCCCGGATCCGCCCCTCGGGACGCTGCTCCAAGGTACTATCAACGGAGCGGTTCTGGGCGACTAGGAGCGTACCTCCGCTGGGCTCAGGACCCGAGCGGAGTGCCAAAAAACACTGCATTCATCTACATGCTGTTTTGCGTTCCATTTGCATACCGAGCAGCTCTCGGTCAACGTCGACACGCGCCCCCGCCCCCACGCAGACCCAGCTTGGGTCCCCTCCTCTGCTCGCGCTTCTCTCGTTAGTCCCCCTTCCAGACCCCGTCTTGCTCCGCAAGTTTTTCCGCCCATGAGCCCCTCGCCGGCGCCCCCAGTCCTGTAAAAGCCCCTTCCCCGGGTCCCCGATCTCGACCACCAGGTTCTCCAGAAGACAATACTCCAATTCTCTGGGAAGTGGAAGAAACCAAGCCCGGGCTAGGGGGGCGCTGGGACCCCAGTTGGGAGTTTGAGAGCGTCTAGTTGTCGAGTCATCGCCTGAGCATTCAGAGATCTTTCCCCAAACGTCTTGTGGTGTCCCAGAACCTGTCCCTGATATGGGTGGGGGATCTCTGGCCCCAGCCTAGAGCAGTGGGCAAACTGGGTCCCCCCCCCCCACCCAAAGGGAAAAGAGTTGGAGGGGCCCGCCCCGTGATGTCACCCCCCACACACCCTGTCCCCTTCCTCCACCCCCAGGCTGGTTGCATTTAGCTCACGGGGCTAGGGCTTCGGCTTGCAAGAGTTTAGGGGGCAACGAACAGAGTGACCCTGGGGGTGCCCAGACCCGACAGCCGCCCCGACGCCTAGGACCTCCGGGCAAGGATGCAGCAGGGGGGTTAGGGAAGCACTTCTACCCCCTCCTCTCCTGAGCCCTGGCAGGGTGGTGAGTAGTTAACACTCCTTCCCCAATCTGTCCTTGTTTAGAGTCCCTAGACTTCCAAGCGGATGGAAGAGAGGAGCCCCAGGGAAGCCCCACGCCAACTCTCTAGACTGTTAGGACCTTGGTGTCCAAAAGAAGACGGATGAAAGTGCCTGCATCCCTCCTACCCTACTCCCACAGTGCCCCCAGTACCAGCCCCTCCTTGATGTTCTTTCAGGAGCCGAATTCAAATTCTACTGGCAGCCGCGACACCCCGGGGGGGAGGGGGAAGAGAGGGGTAGGGAAAGTCCCACCAATGTCCTGAGAGGAGGAGCAAGAGGCGGTGTACCAGGATGTGAGATGTCTGTGGGCTAGGTGCCTGCTTAGTCCAAGAGGGACCATGGGAACTGGACTGTGGCCAGATGCCCCTTCCCCCCAACAACTCCATCTCCACATGAGCTGGGGCTTCAGAACTTTGGCAAAGTGTGGGGACTCTCTCTACTCTATTCCTTGTCCCAAACTCTTTTAATGTCTGTTTCTTTTCTCCCCTCTTCCTTCCCTGGGGTTGGAACAGCTGTCCAGAGACCCCACCATGACTCATTCTCTTCTCTTTCTCCTCCTACCCCCTCAATTAATCCCACCTTTCCCAGTCCAGTGAAGTAGTATTGAGTCCCAGCTGCAGATGGGGCAAGCTTTCTTTTAGCTGGAACAAGCTGCTGGCCTTTAGCGCCCAGTCTCACTAGTGTCCCTGGGCCCCTCCTTCCACCGACCTAGGACCTTCTACTCTCTCCAACCCACCCTGGGAAGCTAGGGATCAGATAAAGTTTCATAACCTTAAAAGATTTATAAGATAGTTTAAGTTTTACTTCGTGTCCTTGTTTCAGAGGGTAGTAAAAAGACAGCTGGTTCCCCTTGACCCAATCCTGTGGATTTTTTCAGTTACTCCAGCAAGGCCATACTCCCTCCTGAAATTGGCCTTTCTTCATAAGAAGCAGAGGTACAGAATTCTCAAGATTCATGGGCACCTGAGTTCCTGCCCCCTACCCCCTTGCAGGTTTCCCATCCCCCTCAAGACATTCATGGATGGATGAGAGGAGCTGACACTGATCTTCCCCTCTGGGATCACCTTTTCTTCGGCCATAGAGGAAGCCCTGTTGCCCCTGGCCATGACTTCTGACCCCAGGCCCTTTAATCAACATCTCCCAGAGCCTCCAGACCCAAGATGTGTCTTGGAACCCCAGGACAATCCTGAACTGGCACCCGCCCTGGTGTGTGCTCTTTGCTGCTGCTTTGGAATCATCTACTGCTGCTTCGGTGAGGGCAGGGCCAGGATTCTGGGGGGCAGCTGCCCAAAACTGTCACCCTCAAGGATGATGCCAACTTTCTCCTTTGCTCCTGAGCCACCTCTATTCTTCTGTCAGGGGATCTCTACCTTCAGTGGAGCCCATGCTGCTCTTGCCAGCTCTTCTTGTCCACACCCTATATCCATGCCCTCTAGCTCTGACCCCTGCCAATTCTCACTTGCCTCTCCCTTCCCCCTACCTCAAAACTCCATTCCCACATTATCCTCCATGTTTAAGTCTTCTTCAACCCTTCCCCAATAACCTGAATTGGCCTGTGCTGATTTCTTCCTGTCTACCATCCCTGGAAGTACTAAACCTTCCTTCTGTATTTACTCCCTGCAGTGTATCCATCTTACCTCCTCATTTTTTTCCTCCCACCTCCTCACAGTTTTTGGAAGGTCCCTGCCTTTCTTGAGATGATCCCTTTCTGCCCCTTGCCTTGAGGTCCCTGGGCTGCTGCTCCTGTCTTCTGCCCCTCTGATTAGCCACTCCTCTCCCTTCTAATTCATCAGAGCCGTCCCTGTAGATGTCTACTTTCTGTCTCTCAGTGCCTCCTGCCTCCCTTCCAGGCTACCGCTGCTTCAAGGCAGTAATGTTTCTCTCGGGCCTGCTTTCGGGAGCTCTGGTGATCTTCCTGCTGTGCCACAAGGAGCGAGTGCTAGAGACACAGCTGAGCCTGGAGGTGAGCGCGGGCATTGCGCTGGGCATCGGACTCCTCTGTGGCCTGGTCACCATGTTGGTTCGCAGCGTTGGGCTCTTCCTGACTGGTCTCCTGCTAGGCCTGACCCTGGGTGCCGGGGCCCTGCTGGGCACAGAGCCCATCTACCAACCACCTTCAGCCTGGGTGCCAGCTGGGGGGTTGGTGGGGCTGGCACTTCTGGGAGCCCTGCTCACGCTTCGGTGGCCACGTCCATTCACAGTTCTGGGCACAGCCCTGCTGGGTGCTGCGGTGCTGGTGGCCTGTGCTGACTACTTCCTAGAGGGGCTGGCACTGGGCAGTCGGCTGGGCCAACGCTTGCAGGCACTTCCAGCCTTGCCTCCTCTCTGCTGGTATAGCTGGGTCTTGCTGGGCACCTGGCCAGCCCTGGGGGCCCTTGGGGCCCTGGCCCAGTGGAAGCTCATGGATGAGGAACATGGAGGCCACGCCAATGGTGAGTTAGTGCCATGGTACAGAAGCAGCCAACCTGTGCCTTCTCATGTCCCCAGTTCCCAGACTTGACAGGGCGGTGGCGGGAAGGGGGGTGGGAAGGGGGAAAATATATTTAAGGGTGGCGGTGTCCGAGATGAATGGGTAGGGCATTGAAAGGAAGTTAGAGTTGGAGGAGCCAACGGTCTGGGTAAGAATGAGGAAAAATTGTCAGAGGAAGCAGAGAGGAGTTAATTCCTGGGGACTATTATGGAAGGAAGGAAGGGTCTCAGGGAAGCCCAAGAGGAAAGTGCAGGAGGGTTCCAAAGAAGAGTTTCTTTCAGAATAACCAGGGAGGAAATGAGGTTTGAGAGAGATTCAATAGGGAGATCAAATGGGTTTCTGTAGAGGGTAAAGGTGTTGGGGGTAGAATTCAGGGTCTCAAGGGGCCTCCCTGAGTCCATATGGCCCCCTCCCATGCAGTGGTCTTGAGCCACCAGCGAAGGCATCTTCAACTCCTTCGGATCCGCCAGCAAGAGGCCAAGTTGCACCGAACATCTGCTGGGGTGGGGCTCTGTGAAGGCAGCTACCGGCGGCGCCAGCTTCCCCCCAACACCCGGAGCCCCGCTGATAGTCTGGCTCCCGTGAGTGAGGGGAGGGGCACACCTGGGGATGGGGCAGAGGGCACATGGGGATGGTTGGGGTCGGGGATGGGGGGTTCTGACCCAGGCCCTACCTTCTGCCCTCTCTGCCCTGTGCCTCTCCAGAGTTATCTCCAGAGCCTTCGAGAGCGCCAACTGGGACCAGGCCCCCAGGCCACAGCCCCCCACACCGTCCTGGACCTGGATTCTGACTGTGGTTCCACTGTACCCCTCACCACACCTTCTGGTTCCACCCGGACCTGAGCCTAAACCTCCACTGATGCTTTGACCCCTAGCAAGGGCCTTGGAACACCAAGTGGGCAGGGCCTGACCCCACAGGACCCACACACAAACTTCCCCACCTCTGTCACTGCGGATAGAATCTGTACTCCAACCCAGACCAGTCCTGTAGGGATATGTTTCAGGGACAGATAAAGAGGAATCTTGTGAGGAGGGTAGAGGAATGGAAGGATGAGTACCTACTTCTGTCCACTAATAGAGGTGCTCTGCCCCTAGAATAACTGGCTTCCTAATTCCCTCCAAACCAAGGAGGGCCCTTACCCAAAGAGCCTTTTACATACTTGCCTCAGTGTGCCTCACGATGGTCGAATAGGGGGTTTTGTTGTTGTAGGACCTACAGAAAACCAGGTAGCTCCCTAAAGCACTTGATAGCTATTTGATGGGGAGAAGGGCACAGAGGAGCTCCTGGCTTCCATAGGCTCAAGTCCTGTTCTCCTACCTCATTTGGGAATACCGTCCTCCATGGTGCTTGCCTTTCTCTCCTTAATGTGGGGAAGACCACGGGGCAATGCATGGCACAGAACCTGCCTCCCCCCACAGCTGTCTACTTCTCCAAGGGGAGACCATTGGCACACATGCCAGAGTCTTGCCCTTTTGCCCAAAGCAGCCTGGTCTTCACCGCTGCATGGGAGACAAGTGCCTTCTCTGCTTCTCATTGTAGGTGATGCTCCTCTCCTTCACTAGAACTTTATCCCAGCCACTAACCCATTCTAACTCCCTCCTCTGATTTTCCTGCTCAGAGTCTGTTCCCTGGTTCCCCGGACAGCATGAAGGAAGATGTGTTCCTCCCCTGGGCAACAAAGCTATGATGGGAGGGAGGAAGAACATGGAGCATGTGAATAAAATGGCATTGAACATTGAACCAGGGAGTCCAGCCTCTGCTGTTGCTGCTCTTTTCTTTCTCTGCACCCCCAAACAGTTAGCCAGACTGATAAGTCCTCTGTCCCCTAGAGATCTGATACGGCTATCCTCACCAGACTGGACTACTGGACTCACAGCTACACACACACATAGCCAGAGGAAGAGCTGTTCAGTCCTCTTTAACAAACATGGAGTTAGCCTTTATTAAGCACAAATGTGCCAGACATTGTACCCTGCACTTCACAAAAAGTATTTCATTTAATGCAAACACCCTGCAGGACCAGTATTAACCTCATTGAGCAGATGGGGAATCTGAGGCTCAATGAGGTTAATTAACTTGCCCAAAGTCATAAGCAAGTAAATGTGATTCTTAAAGGGTTCCAAAGCCCTTGCTCATTTTACTGGCCATGCCATTTTCTTGCACTTTGTCTGGGAAGAATGGGACCCAGGCATTTAGCTTCCCAGCTGTTGCCACCTGTCAGCCAAGGTCCTGAGGGATGCCTTCCTTCTACTGCTGTCTTCCAGACAGTAGATAACACAGTTGGAAGGAGCTATGTAGGATGAGCGAAGGAATGTATAGAGTTGGGAGCTGACCCAGAGTTAGGGAGTCACTGCCCAGGAGGTCAAGAGCACAGAGGAGTGGTGGCTGGAGCTGGGACCTTTCAAGCCCTGAAGTTTATTGTTCATCCCCCTGCTGCAGCCCCGCAGCCTAGGGAGCTGACATTGGACTCCTCTCAGGCCTCCGGGCAGGGCTGGTGACATTACCAGGGAATGGAAGGGTGGGGGAGCCTGTGGCTGAGGGGCTAATGTCCAAGATAGGGTCTCTGGGTGGGTGGTCAGTGTTCAAGGTGGTACCTATGGCTGAGGAAGTGGAACCCAAGGTGGTTCCTATGGCAGGGTGGTCAGTGTTCAAGGTGGTACCTATGGCTGAGGAAGTGGAACCCAAGGTGGTTCCTATGGCAGAGTGGTCAGTGCCTGAGGATAAAGAAGTGGCATCTCCACCTGACAGAGTGGGGACTGAGGTCTGGGGATGACAGTGCATCCAGTGGCGGGCAGTATCTCTGGGATAGCCTTTCTCTCCTCGTAGCTGCCTGTTGAGGCGCCAGTATTGTTTACCCTTGAAGAAATAGACCTGGCCATCCCGCCAGCTCATAGCAGCAGAGGGCTGGTTTGGTGCTCCCGTAAACAAGCCTTTGATTGGTTTAGGGTAGTGGCTGAAGTCAGTTCGGGCCAGCTCGTCCCACTGCCAATACCCGGAGCCCTAGGAGTAGGGTGGGTAGGGAGAAGAAGAGGATAAGGAGAGAGCTTAAGGATCCCCAGATCTACCCCCAGCTGCAAATGATCTCCTTTCAAGGGCAAGTCCGCTTCTCAGTGTGAGGCAGCCCACCTCTCCTAAGAAGGGATTTGCCCTTGCTTTGAATTTTGTACCTTAAAGAGGAACACCTTTTGGTTGAAAGGCCAATAGAGAGCTGCATCCAGATTGGGTTCTACCCTGTTCAGCTTCTTGGGGAAGCCAGGAGACATCTTGAAATTAATATAGCGCCACACCTTGTCTCCTGAGAGCCGGTAAGAAAAAATCAGGTTATGTCTGTCTCCAGGTGATAGCTTTTGGTTCTCCCATTCTGCCCTTCCAGAAACTTCTCATCTCTCCCTCCCTTTTATGGCTTCTTTAATCGTAGGCCCTCCTCAGGTAACACACTGTAAACCATTCTCTTTTACCCTTAAAGAAGTGAATCCATTGTGTTCGAGGAGAGTAGACAGCAGCATCTAGGTTTCCTGGGAGCCCCTCCCAAAGGGCAGACACTTGGAACAAGGGACCCAGCCCTGAATCGGTCACCGTCCACACGTAGTTCCCCTTGAAGGCATAAGTCTTCCCGCGGGGCCCTGAGGGTAAAGTGCGGACAAGTCAAAAAGACTTGGGTCAAATAAAGACTTACGGGCACTGCAGGCAGGCTGATAATTTGCTCTCCTCCCACAGGCTGGGCCTCAAAACTTCAACTTTAATTTAAAGAGAGGATTAAGGTAGAGAAGGAAGACTCCATGTTCAGCCTCTTTGTTATTCAGACCAATTCAGCTCTGATTCACTCAATAAAACAAAAACCCTGCAGATAGCTCACCCTTGGGGACCTCACCTCCTATTCCAAGTAGCTTCCAAGTTGTCCTTCCATGCAGGTATGATACCTTCTCTAATAGACATTCTAGGAAATAGAGTTTTCTTCACCTTGCTATATTACCAGATATGTTTTGCTGGCCCTTATAGGGAAGACACTGAGGTAAATGCCCACCTAGCCCACCTTTAATTTGGCTCTGAAGCCTTCCTCTCCATGCCACGTGCCTTCTTCCATGGCCACTCACCCCTGTCTGGTATCTAACCTCTTCTGCTCATGCTGAGGTCCCACGTCATTCCCATCTGTCCAGGTCTCAAGATCAGTGGGCTGCTGCCACTGCCTGCCTATAGCCTGGAGGGGAAGGGCCTCACCCAACATCATGGCATCCAGTTCACCACTGCAGGGGTCTGGCATGGGACTGGGTTCTGTGGGTACATGTGGTATAGTGGGGAACTCCATCTCTTCTTCCTCATCTTCTATCTCTGGGTTCTTCTTCCCTGCAAGGCCACATAATGCTGCTCAAGGAGAGAACTCACAGCACCTGGCCTCCCCACTCTTCTATAAGTTTGCCTCAGAGTCCCCATAGAAAGTGGAAAAGGGAATCCTAGAGAATTTCTCTTGGTGGGAGGCAAGATCATATTGATATCGACAGGAGACACATTTTAGTTTTGAGAGGCACCAGAAAGGAGGAAGGAAGTTTGCTGGAACACTGATTCTTCTTCATCCCCAAGAATGGGTAAGAGGAGAGAGAGGCCTGAAAGGAAGGTCAGACATGGAAGTGTCAGAAAAACAACTCCTGAAAATGAAGAAGCCTAAATAACTGGGCAGGAGGAAGAGAAAGAAGCCAAGTCATTTCCCACCATGGAGGTTAGACCAGTCTCTTCAGCCTGAAGAGATGCTGGTCACACTGACCTTAGGATCACTAGGGGTCATGATTAGCCATAACTTGAGGGAAAAAACTAACCGTAGAGAGCCTGAATCCCTGCCACATCATCTGCATGAAGCTTGAAGTGGGGCCGGTAGCCAGCATAGACAGGGGCCATGAGGGCCTGGGTATATCGAGAGTGCCCAAGCCCCAAGGCATGGCCCAGTTCGTGGGCTGCAATGATGCGCAGATTCACCCCCTGGTAAGTCCTCTCAGTCCAGAGTTCATCTTCATCAAAGTGCACACTGCCCAGCTCTGGGATGTCAGCATGGGCCAGGACCCTCCCTGGACAAAGACAAAGGTGGACAGGAAGGAGGTCAGAGTCTTCTAGGCTAAAGTATCCCCTGCATGTTATAAACCCCAATTTCTCCATTCCCTTAAATTTCCAACTGTATTCAGTCTCTCAGATGCCTCTCTCTCAATTTTCACCTCACCTTGTCATCACCGAGTTCTCTCTGCGTTGCCCATCCCTCTGTCTCTATACTTCTCAACCACTCTCTTCTCTCTGGCCCAGTCCTCTCTGAGGGGTGTCTTGAGCAGGGGAACTTAAACCAAGGACTAAAGCATAAGCTTCAAAGAGGAAGCTTGATAAGACCCCAGGGAGGTGACCAGATGCTTTCTAAGAGAATATTAGAAGGTGGTTAGAGAGTGTGGGGTGCAGTTGGGCATAGGGAGCAGCCTGAACATTAAGGTTGCAGAGTCACTGGCTCAAGGGGACAGAGATCATCTCAAATGTCTGTAAGGTGGGAACCAAGAGCTGGTGCCTACCACGCCCATCAAAGGAATTGGAGCAGTATGGTGTCTGACGGCCATGGAAGGAGAGGCGGATGTCAGCGAAGCCAGCCTGCACCTCCCGGAAGGTCAGGGGGGCCACATTGCTCCAGTACTGGAAGGCTTGAAGCAGGGCAGCCCGGGCTGTGTGGGGCGGGAGGGTGGAAGGCAGGTTCAAGATGCGGAAGGTCAGGTGCTTCTTTCTCCAGCGGCCTGATTATTGGACAGAAAATAGGTTAGAAACAGAGATCCTCTGCCAACCCCAAAGAGCTCCCCTGAGTCTAGGCATTCGCTCAAAAAAGTTATGTCTCCAGGCAGGCAATGATCAGTTAATCACCAGGTGATCATCCATTCAACACTGAGCTGGACCAGCCTGTCCCAATGCCACCTGTACTCCAGAGCTATGCCACAGCCTCCTTTCCCTCCCTTTCCCAGTCTCAGTCCTCACCCAGAAGGAGGTATTTAAGGGTCTTCTGGTTGAAGGGGTCCTCCAGGCCACAACGGGGCTGCCCCATGCGGGCCCTTGTGGCATCATCCAGCTGACCTGAGACTGGCAGCTCAGATGCTTCCTGAAAAGCTCTGAAAAGAGGGAGAGGGATGGGCCCAGCAGGGCAGGGGAGTGTGGAATGACTGGAAACTGGGGATAGCTCCTTGGCCCCTTCTGCCCACAGTGGTAGGTGAGAATGGCACAGGATCTCTGAAACTGATGGGGTCACTCCCGTATCCAGTCTTCATAATTAGGACTTTCTCTTCTGTTCTGCAGAGATAGCAATACTCCAGCTTCACCTCCCCATCTTCAGTCTCTTATCTGTGTAAGGTTTCCCTCAGGTGTAGCCTTCTTCCCCTATTGCAATTTCTAAACTTCTTCTGCTCTGGGGAAGTGCCCCACCCCCTGCTCTGGAGACTCTCCCACCACTGGTCCAACCTGAGAGCCTGTCCTCCCTCAGCCTTCTCCTGATGGCTGGACTCCCCTCCCAGCCCAGCCTGCTCTGGGGCAATTTCGAAGCTCAGGCCCTGCAGGCACTGCGGCTTTTCAAGGAACTGTGAACACAGCTGAGAGCAGAAAGAAAAACTACCCATTAGATCCAAAATAGGAAAAGACAACTTCAAAATAGAAATAAATCCTGAATTAAATGTCCACAAAAAGCAACATCATCCCAACAACTCAACTCCAAATCAACTCGATTCATAGTTTTA